TCTGCATGCTTACAACTGTCTCAGCATCTTCACAGTCATGTGATCAAAATCGGGTGCTTGGCAATCAGCATGTATTTACAATGGCTACCATGTCTCAAGGTCAGATGATTGCCATTTGTGACATTCCCAACTGGCTTCCAACAAGCAAAGTTAATGGGAGAAGCTGGATTCTCTTGATGGCTGTATATGCTTCACTTAACAACTGCAGTGATTTAACAATTGGGGCCAAAAGATTGTAAAATTTGATGTGATTCACTGAACTATTATTTGCTTAGCAATCAATTCTGGTCATAAATCAAGGACTAACTGTATACAAATAACATCTTAATACATTTTTATAAATGATCTTCCTTTCTGAGGGGCAAAGTACTGCTGATCAAAAGAGATGTAAGAATAGATAAGAATTCATAAGTCATATGAAATGTCTCAAGTATCAATTGAGAAATGGTATCACAAGTTTGGCATTTAGAAAGAAATGTAGATTTTAACTCTTTCTTCTTGACCCAATGTTTGTGGTTAAATTCTACACACACACGCACACATTGCTGTATCCTCTTCTAGGAAAAGCATATGTGACAACACTCCGATAAAAATGTAGAGCATGTTGGTCTTTTGGCTCCAAAATTTGAAGGCATCTATTTTGGCTTTTAGTTGTAGCGTTTTAAGTCTTCCATTCTTATTAAAACAAATATTAGCTTTATTTAGTGTGCAAACTGCAAAAATCAAGACACAGTTCAATTGTGCAAAATAAGTTTGTTCAATTTTGTTTTGAATCTAAGAGGAAGCAAGATTTTCCATAGAAATCCACTCCTTCCAAACTTCTCCACATTGCACTTCTACTGAATTTCAAAAGTAAATTTTGTATTCTGGCATTTGGAATCTGGTCAAAGTCAACACACTGCCTTATGCAGGAAGTAATGGAACAGTCACCCAAATAAATGTCTCCCTAACCCTAACCAGAGGAAATGATGGGGACCAGCTGCGTATGTGTTTAAATATTTTCGGGGAGGGCTTATTTTCAGGGGAGGGCTTATTTTCAGGGGAGGGCTTATTTTTGGGAAAACACAGTATCCCTTGATATTGCCACACTGTCATTAATATATGTCTATGGAGATTCTCAATCATCCAGTTCATGGTTGTCAGAAATGTGCTTTTTCAAGAGGCAACTGCACTTTCTTGTTTTTCTTTGAAGACATTTCCTTTCTCATCCATTCTTCAGCTCTGACTGATGGTGGGGAATGGAAGGATTTATATTCCTTGCAGACAGCTGGTCATTTGCATTCTTTTAGGAATTGTTGAGGCCACTTGGGGGTTTATCTGTGTCCTCAGGGTCACCTGAGTGATGCAAATGGGTGTGGAGCCCTCTTGGAACTGCTGAAAGGACTGTGTTGTAGACTAGACATAGATGATGTTATATCCCTCCCCATCTGTTGACAGAGGGCTGTTAAATTTTGACATAGATGGCCTCTTTGACCCTTCTTTCAAACCAACGGTCCCCTCTCACCGAAATGCAGACTTTGCTGTCTTCAAAAGAGTGGCTTTTGTCTTTTAAATGCAGATGGACTGCTGAATCTTGTCCTGATGGGTTTGTTCTCTTATGCTGTGCCATGCATTTATGAAGTGTTTGTTCTGTTTCCCCAATCTGCATATATCTCACTGCATTGTACTGCATATACCATGTTGCTCAGTTTATGTCTGGGTGTTTTATTCTTGGGGTGGACCAGCTTCTGCCTTAGAGTATTCTTGGGTTTAAAATGTGCCTATATGTTGTGTTGGCTCAAGATCCTCCTGAGCATTTCAGATATTACTGCCATGTATGGAATGACAACATTGCTTCATTTATTGTTATCTTTATTGTCTTTTATGGAAGAGCTCCTGCTGGATCATTTTTATAATTTGACGAAGGCCAATTTGGGGTAGCCACACATTCTGAGGGCTTCCTTGATGTGTTTTAGTTCTTTTTCTTTCCTATCTTTGCTGGTTGTCAGGCCTTCCACTCAGTGGTGTAGGATTCAACTCTGCACTACTCAGGTGAACCTGAGGACACAAATAAACCTCCAAGTGGCCTCAACAGGCCTCAAGGAATGCAAATGACCAACTGTCTGCAAGGAATATAAATCCTTCCATTCCCTACCATCCAGTCAGAGCTGAAGAAGCTTCTTGGATGAGAAGCGAAACTTCTTCAAAAGAAAATCAGAAAGTCCAGTTGCCTTTTGAAAAAGCACCCTTGGGGCTGTCATTAATATAGTAATATAATGATTACATTCTGTATGTATGTATTTATTAAATACATTTTATTTATTTATTTATATTTATACATTATTAATTAAATACAATTATTAAAAACATTTGAAATATTTTTTTCAAAAGTTTTGTTCTGATTTTGGCTGTCCTATTATTTCTGAGAAAGTTTGTACTGCGTATTGAAAAGCCTAGATTTTAGTAGATCTCAAACTGACAGCAGTCACATAGGAAAGGGAAAAGATAAGAAAGTAGAAGCAGAAGCAGATAAAAAAAGACAAAGGTTGTTCCAGAAGAAGGGGTGTTTTGAGGATAAAGAACATTTCATTCCTCACTATTAGACAAATAGGTTATAAATATGGCAAGGCAGAGAGCGGATATATTTACAAGAGTGTAATTTTATTCCCATGCACTTCCTTTGCACTCGTATTACTTTTGCTTATAAACACAATGCATTTGATGGGAATATTTTAATAGTACCGAGTTTTAATATATAGAAACAGTGAACTAATAATTTAACAAATGATAAACGTATCAATGTTAAGTGGAAAAGATGTGTGTTCTATAATAAACTAGACAAGTATTAGTCATTCATCAAAGGTTATACAAGTTATGTGTCTCCTTCCTGAACATAATTTAACACTTGAGCCAAGTGTAACATAAAGCAACTTCCTGTAACTCATAAAAAGGTTGTTGTGAATATCACTTTATACCTACCAGGTTACCAGACTAATCAAGAGTTCAAAGCAGTTTGAACTAGACTTGTTTACTAGACTGAAAGATCTCCCTTTCTTCTTTTGAACAATGCCCATTCTGAAATTTATAACCACATTTGCACAATTGTTCTTGTAAGCATGCCAATTATTTAATAATCCCAAAGCTTTGATTATTCAGTTTTTTTTTTAACCTCCAGTTTTATCTTTTGTAGGGGATAATAAAATTGTACTCAAATGCTACCTTCAGAAGAAAGATGTTCTGCAAAGCTGTAGCAAAAAATAAGTCTGCTTTTTAAACTTGCAATTTCATTAATTATCTCCCACCCCAGTTGAAGCAATCATCCTTTTATTTCTTTCTTTTTAAAAAATTTTTCTTTATTATTAAAAAAGTTGGACATGGTTATCTCCACCATACAAAACTTGGAGTTATTTCCGCCATACAGAACTAAAGCGTAACACAAGCCCCTTGTGTGTTCAATATATATTACTAATTGCTAATTATATACACATACTTAACCTTTTATAGACGCTTACATTTACATATATTACATCTTATTTCAATCTACACATCCTTGTTCTTATTTGTTCCGGCTTCCATTCCTTAAATCTAACCATTTGGAACCACTATTCCAAATTTCATAGTATTCTGTCTCTCCTTTATTTTTCAGTTCCAATGTCAAACTATCACATTCTGTGCAGTCAAATATTTTCTTCATTATTCAATCTTCCATTTATTTCCTTTCATCCGGAATTCCATTTCAAATGTATTTAGTTTGGTCTGCCTTTATAAGTCTCAGATCATGGGACGCTTATGTTGAACAAGCTGTTTGTTACAAATGGAACACAGCATTTTACACGCTACTATGAAAACTCTCAGTGCTGATTAAATGGTATGCAGCATTCATGTTCTCACTTATCAACAATGAGATTATTATTTTACATAAATCGTCTGTTTAAGCAACAGATTGCCATGATCAGAAATATGCACCATTCCTTGTTAATTTGGTAAAGTATACTGCACAGGGCAGAGGTGAACAATTTGTAGCCCTCCAAATATTGATGAATAAGAGTTCCTAGGACCCTTATAACTGGACAAATTTCCTAGAGATGCTGTTCAGTGGTACTGAGAGTGTCACATGTTGCCGACTCTGGGGTAGGACTTTTGTTGTTGTTGTTCTTGCTAATTTAGCACTCTATGGATATAGCGAACCAACTAATTTTGAGAGATGTGGTGCAATTCCCTGCAATTTACCAGGTGCACAAAAGCTATAGCAATAGCATTTAGACTTATATACTGCTTCACAGTACTTTACAGCCCTCTCTAAGCGGTTTACAGAGTCAGCATATTGCCCCCAACAATCTGGGTCCTGTAGTCAGGCTTCTGTGCCAAATTTTGTCAAAATAAAGTAGACTTGTGACTATGTATTTAACAACGGTTCAAAATTACAGTGGCATTGGAAAGAGTGTCTACTGACCTGTTCTTGAAGTTCCAACTGTCACATTACCTCCATGGTCCTGCGATCACAATTTTGGTGCTTTGTGACTGACTTGCATTTGCAACAGTTGCAGCATCTTGTAAGCACGTGATCTCAAACTGCAACTTTTCCATGCACTTCCGATAAGCATAGTCAATTGGGACATCTGGATCCACTTAACATTGTTGTGATTCACTTAACAACCATGTGATTTGCCTAATGACTGTGATAAAATGGTCATAAAATCAGATCTGGTCACCTTATGACTCAATGATTACATCACTTTACAACCAAAATTCTGATCCAACCTATGGTCATAAGTCAAAGATTACCTGTAGCTTCCTCCCCAGGAATACTACTATTCATGAGAAAGGGAGTCCAAAAGAACTCAGTAGGGCATTAGATAGCCATTGCCCACATTCACCTGTGATTATTGTGGTTGTGTGAATAACTTGGTTCTATGAAACAATTGTAAGGAAAAAGAGATCCAGTTTTCTATGTCATCATCTCATGGTCCTCGGCATTTCATTGCTTATTGTAATGTATGGCTTTCTCTTTCTTGTTTCAGATTGAAGATACCAGTTTTAAGTTTTTTAATAACAAAGCTAAGGAAGCCATACTGCACATCCCTTCTTCTGGCAATGGACAAGATCTTCAATTATATCAGCAAATCCTTACACAACACAATTATAGAGTTACAGTCATTGAAGACAGGAAACTAAACAGAAATGAACATTTACATCCAGGTGAAAATTATTAATTATTTCTTAACTATAACAGGATTTTATTTTAGAATAGAATAGAATAACAGAGTTGGAAGGGACCTTGGAGGTCTTCTAGTCCAACCCCCTGCTTAGGCAGGAAACCCTACATCACTTCAGACAAATGGTTATTTATTTTTAGATGACTGTATATTACAGAACTGATAAAAACATTTTATTTCGTTCATCAGCTCTTATTTTGGCCTGTCATAGAACATACTATTTTATTTACTTTTTAAACTTGATATTACTTCTTATTTCGAAAAACAAAAAACAACAGAGAAATCAGAAAGCAAACAAAATGAAAGAAAAAAAACCCAAGCCAGGTTCCTGAGCAGAATCATCTTAAAAGCATAATAAATCAAAAGTTTTAAGGAAAAGCAGCAGAGAGTTTGTTCTAAATACATCCTTTGACTTCAGTTTAATGAAACTTAAAATCTACTTATATTTGAATGAATTTACATCTGAAATGAAGAGTGGCTTGCTTAGATTCTTCCTGACAGCTGCATTCAGTATTTGTATCAAACGTATACAGTACATATTAGCAAACCAAGATTTCTTAATATTTCAAAGAATTGTGGCAAGAATTCCACCTTTCTCTATCTGGAGTTTTAAAGAAATTGCAATTCTCATAACAGCTAAAGTTGAGAAATTATCATATCAGATCCTGACTTCTTCTCAAACCTTAGTTTAAACAAGTAATAGACCTTTGAGGTTTAATGCGATGGATAAATATAATTAAAGTATATTGCAGAAAGCCCAAAGTGACTAAGAATTACTGCAGCTGTTGTAACACAAAATCATGATTTCTCATTATATTCCCATCAAGCCTTTATCTGGTTCTATGTCAGAAGCCTGTAGTTTATTCTTTTTCTTTATTATAGTTTTAAATCTAAACTCTACTTGACTCGGTACAAAGTTTATGAAGGAGAAAAAAACCTTGTTGCTTTAAAGAAAGACAGTTGGAAAAGTTCCATTCCTGCTGGAAGTTTGGTATTGTTGTGCTCCAGCTGATGTGTTTAATCACAAAGGAATTAGATTCTACTTCTTGCTAAACAGAATATAATTTTAAGATTAATTTCATTCTTTTTCCTACAGCGAATATGCCTTAAGACATCACATATAGTGCCTTTTCTTGCTAGTAAGGCAGAGTGGAAGCTTGTTCTCACTTATGGCAAACAAGAGTTATTGGTATAATGATAGCTTCATCTCTGCTCGCTGTACTCCATTTTTCATCTGAGTAGTGTTTTGTAACATGGAAAAAAAACATAAGCTTTCTAGAGATGAGATAAAATCAGGGCCATTTGGATGGGATAAAATTAGGGTTGCAAAGTTCTGGTAAGGCTATTAGTAATAACTTGCAATTCACAATGGAATTGTCTTTCTGGAAACACTAAAAATATAATTAGGATATATTTTATGAGGAAGACATAGTCCACTAACAAACTGAATTATATACTATTGTGTATTTACTAACAGTTCCTCCCACATTTCTTATTCCTTTGCTTTTAGAAAATTTCATATTGTTTTTGTTATTACTATTATTTAAATTTATATGCTGCCCAGATCCCACAAACTCTGGGCAGATTGCAAATTGTTTAGAACATTAAAAGTAGGAAACCAACAAGGGACAAAAAGAAAGGTAAAGGATGACAAAACAAAGGAAAACAACTGAACGTAGTCTAAAAAGAGGCTTCAGTCATCTTTGCCAAACACTTGGGCAAAGAGCCAAGTCTTTAAGGGCTTTCAAGACATCAGCAGGGTTGGGGCCATTAGGATACGGAGTGGGGAAGCTCATTCCAAAGGACAGGCTCTGCTACAGAGAAGATGCTCTTATGAGGATCTGATAGATGGCATTGTTTAATTATGGGTCATGCTGGCTGATGCTTCTTAAGCTGCTATCTCAAGACATCTGGAAGACATCATGTTGGGAAAGGTCAAGATAAACAAGAAGGATCAGACTATCTGCTTTTCAGCTGCGGAGGTCCACATTTTATGCTCAGTAGTTATAAGCAACAGAAATTATTTACTGAATTTATTTTGTTAAGGTGTTGCCTTTTCCAAACAAATGCTGGGCAGCTCACAATAAAATAAATAATAAAAGCACAATATAGAACAGAACAAGATGGATCTGGTTACTCTCTGAAAACAAAACATAGATCAAAACACACCCAACCAGAGGATTCATCCTAGAGCAAGGAAGAACAACCAGGTCTTCAAGGCCTTAGAGAAGGCAAACAGATAGGAGGTACAGAGATTTCAGGTCAGATCTCATAGTGTTAGTATAAGAATTACTTCCACAGTAATAGCTAACATATCTTTGTAAGATCAAACTTTCCATGATCAACAATCAATTTTGCAGTTTTAGACAAATAGTCAGTCACCTTATAGGATGAGTCAGCCTCTCAACCTATCTTACATCACCAGATTGATTTGATTTGTTGTTGTTGTTGTTTCTTGGACAGAATAGAATATAACAGAGTTGGAAGGGACCTTGGAAGTCTTCTAGTCCAACCGTCCAACCCCCTGCTTAGGCAGGAAACCCTACACCACTTCAGACAAATGGTTAACTAGTCTCTTCTTAAAATCTTCCAGTGTTGGAGCATTTACAACTTCTGGAGGCAAGTTTTTCCACTGATTAATTGTTCTAACTGTCAGGAAATTTCTCCTTAGTTCTGATTTAATTATTTCATTTTGCAATGGAAGCTTCCATACCTTTACTTTATAGCAGTGGTGTCAAACTTGTGGCCCGCGGGCCGGATGCGTCACACGCTGGCCACACACACACCCAGTTTAGCGAAGGGGAAAAAGTCGTAATATGTTACCTGATGATGATGATGTAACGATGCGAGTTTGACACCCCTGCTTTAGAGGATGAGAATCTACTAATACCTCACCCTGCCCATGTGAGCAAAGTTAAACCAAGCAATCTAAAATATCAGCTGAATAGCTCTTTAAAAAGCATTGTTTGTAAACTGCCCAAGTCACTAGGTGAGATGGGTAGTGTAGAAATTTGACAAATATAAAATAAATAAATACAATTGTGATGGCCTAAAGAAATCCATAGAAGGAAGATACCAACACATATGCCACCACATTATACAATGTATTTACTGTATTTAGCATATGGCATATCATACATAGATTAGCAATATATATTAACATTTTATGTAGATTAGCAGAACACAATAAAATATAAATGTTTAAAAATACCTTGGTATGTTCAAATACCAATGTCTAGGCCATTTAACCATCGAAGCACAGCATTGTTTATATTAAAAAAAATTAGATACTGGACCAGAATATGCCCTCAGCTTACAGTGAGTCACAATGTGATCTACAGTTTGACATGGGACCCCACAGTCACATTCAGGGGAGGATGCTATGCCACATTTATACAGAGAGTCCCAGCAGACACTATGTGAGGTGCGAAGTTCAAAGCCTGACATACAGTATTAGAGTAGTGTTACAGAAATTCCCATTATAGCTCTTACAGGAATGTGCAATAATATTAGAAATTTACATGTGCTGTACCTCTGTACTTGTTACTCTTATAGTCTTATATAAACAGTACTATTTAAATAGAGCTCTTAATATGACCTCATTGGGTGAATCTCTAAATAAATCTAAGAAATGAAATAGAAACACTGATAAAATAGTCCCACATACTTCTAAAGAACCAGCAAACTATAACTGTTTAAAATGGGGAAAACACACATTTTATAGTAGAAAATTATAGTAGATAACAAAGTAAGTATGCATTTGCGAAGTCAATCGTTGTAAAACTGCATAGTAGTTGTAAGGTACTATTGTTCATTTGATTAATTATCTAGTGAATTTGTTTCTTTTTCTTTACAAATCTCTATAACGAATTTTCCTATTTTATTTTCAATCTTTGAGATTTAAAGATGTAGTCTGTGCTGTGAAATATTAAATATTGCCAACCATAAAAAATAGTATAAATAAGAAATGTGATTCCTCATCCTTTAGTTTGCATAAAGATAAGTAATTATTTTTAATTACTTATAATTAAATAATAAGTAACTATTGCTTAACGCATTGTAAACCGCCCTGAGTCTCCGGAGAAGGGCAGCATATAAATTGAACTAATAAATAAATAAATAAAATAAATTTGCTTTTATTCCAAGAATTGTAGAAATCAGTCTTGGAGCCTAGCATTCTGTAGAAGGTGGATCATTCCTATTTTAACAAAATCTGTTCTTAGCCCATTTTCAATAACTCTGACTTATCATGCCACTTCCTTTGAAAGATTCGTGGCATTTTGAATTTAAAGATAAAAAAGCTGGAAGGTAGCCATGTGATCCTGGAAAAAGTTGTAGCTGCTTTGAAGAATTATAAACAAATAACAGAATAAAAGAGTTGAAAGGGAACTTAGAGATCTTCTAGTCCAACCTCCTGCTCAAGCAGGAAACCCTATACCATTTCAGACAAATGGTTGCCCAATCTTTTTTTAAAAAACTTCCAGTGTTGGAGCACCCACAACTTCTGGAGGCAAGTCATTCCACTGATTAATTGTTCTGTCAGGAAATTTATACTGAGTTCTAGGTTGATTCTCTCCTTGATTAGTTTCTATCCATTGCTTCTTTTTCTGCCCTAAGTGCTTTGGAAAATAGATTGATTCCCCCTCTTCTTTGTGGTAGCTCCTTAGATATTGGAACACTGCTATCATATCACCCCTAGTCCTTCTTTTCATTAAACTAGATATACCCAATTCCTGCAACCGTTCTTTGTATGTTTTAGCCTCCAGTCCCCTAATCATCTTTGTTGCTCTTCTCTGCACTCTTTCTAGAGCCTCAACATCTTTTTTATATCATGGCAATGAAAACTACTTATGCTCCTGCCTGCTTTGAAGTACTTTTTTCTTTGACTCCAATGTTGCACAGCTGTAATATAAATAAATGATCTTTATTCACAATCTAGAGCCCACCTTACCTGTGAATGAGCAACACAGTAGTGGGTGCTAC